AGAGCAGGAATTCCTGGCTCAGGCAGGAGGGGTGGGTTGCTGGGTTTTCTGGTGGGACCTTACAAGGACTGCAGCAGAGAGTCTGGATGTGCATTAATAAGCAGATCTGGACTGGAAAGTGAAGATTTGGGACCAGATGAGGCAAATATTTCCAAAGCCCTAATGCAGTCCCTCTCGATCACACAAAACCTCTGGGCAGAGCGGGACTGCACAGCAGGAGTCACCCCTGCCCCACAGGTCCATGAGCTGTGGGATCACCTGTCCTCCAAGGAGAGAAGAATTGGGCTGGTTTTATTCCTGGCAGCAGTTCTAAAGCCTGTAATATTTACTGGATGAAAAGACTGTGAGAGTTCCTTCTTACCATGTTAAAAATGTTTGAAATTCACTTCCTTTAATAATTTTTTTGCCATTAATTAACTATGAGCAGTATTACTGCGGTGCCCAGAATCCTTCCCAGCCAACTAGGAGGTGGCCTGTGCCATCTGTTTGTCCTGACTTCATCTGCCCTGTGCTTTCAGTGCCAGGGCCAGGCTGTTTCTGCTCATGCTGTCATGCTGGGTGAGAGGAAAGGGACACTCAAAGAGCCCAGGCAGGTTTATTTATTGTTAGGAAGCAGCAATGGGCACAGGTGGAATGGCACAGATAAGCCCAAGCCTTGGCATAGGAATTCAAAGTCACCTCCTTCATCCTTAGCTGCCTGCCAGCATCCCTCCCTCCAAGGCAAGGCCCCAAGCTGGCTCTTCCCGTTTTGTTTTTTAAGTACACTGTTAATTAATGAGCCAGAGGAAAAAATACACACAGGCACACCTGAGTAGTTTTTAACCTGGCTTGATTAATGCTGTCAAGTTGCACATCTGAGTGTGAGCTCAGTGGGACTGTTGCTTTTGTTTAATACCACAAGACACCTCAGTCTGGATTGTTGCATTACAGTACAAATAAAAAACAGAAACAAAACCACATCTGCATCATACAGGGTGAGAAGAATATGAGAATTCTAAATATTTACAGAGAAGGGCAAGTGGGGAAACCACAAAAAATATTTACATAAAAATACATGAGCTTGTCGGCATATACATTTTACACCAGTTCACAAAAAAAGACACTCTATAAATTAAAGTGAAGGGAACTTCAAAGGTAACCCAAGACTTCCTGGGATGTTCCTCTCATGCGGCTCAGGGAAAGAAAAATCAAGTCTTCTACAGCAGGAAAATGAATGGCAAAACAACCCTTTTCTCCCCCCCTCCCTCTCCCCAGCTGGACAAGGCAGGACTCTGCACACGAGGAACTGTGGTGCTGGCTCACACCACACCATGCCTTTCACGTGGGACCTGGGGCTCTGGGGAAACAGGAACATGCCTAAGCCGCCACAACAAAGGGAAGGAAAACAATTTCTCACCCAGATTTCCTGACATTTAACACACCACTCGAGTCAATGCCCTGTCACCAGCCTGGGGGATGGCAGAGCACACTTGAGGTTCTGTCCCTTCTGGGGTCAAAGAGGAACAGGACGTTTTCAAGTCGGTTTTGGTTTTGTGTAGCAACTTACTACCACTGTGCAATCCTCACTGATCCCCCCAGTGGTGAGCAGGGGAGGGGGATCACTGCAAAGACATAGGCACAAAGTTGTGGGGGTGTTCTCAGAGATGCATATAGATATCACCTGATAAGACTCTGCAAAAATCAGAAATTAATGCTTTACGTAAGACTTCATAGGGGCCAAGTCCTCATTACTCACCTACGACTGCACTCCCCTTCCCAAGGAAGGTCTCCTGTGGGTCACGTCCTGCTCCAAAGCAGAGGTGAAAATCCAGAGCTGGAGCACACTCCTGGAGCTCCATTCCTGCATGCACTGGGAGACCCTCGTCTGGAAACAGAGGGAGTGACACCTGACGATGTGCCCATGTGAGGGAACTGCTGAGGAACAGAGCTGCTGTCACCTCGTGGGGATGTGGTTAGGCAAGGAATTACTGAGCCCGAGCACAACCGAACTTGGATTTGAGGATTATTTGCGATGCTGTCCCCTTGTTCTCTTCCCTCTGGGACACAGGACTGGGCTGTCACCATCCTCCAGCTCACCCACCTTAGACTCCTGGTGTCACCTCCCTGCCTCACTCTGATGCATGACACCCTTTCCAACCTCACCTATGAATTCTGGGGTTAATGAGAACATAAAACTCTGTAGGACCCGCAGACTGAGCCCAGAGCAGTGCATAGTTCACTGTATGGCTTGGCAGGGCGGGATCATGCAGGATGCTGCTGAAGCCGTGGGCAGGACACGATAAAACAAAGGTGTTGGTCTATGTTACTTGGGAAAAGCTGGTGCTTTCACCTTTTTAAATTCTGTACTGTGGCTCAGCAGTGCTGGACATGGGTTCTTGGAGAGCTTCCACCCTTGGAGCACAGCTGGCTGTGGCTGCGAGCCGAGGGGGAGATGGCTGGGAGTCACTGCTCTGCTGTCTTCTTCCTCTCATTCCCAAAAGGCTGTTTGCAGCAGCCCTCTGGGTTAGGGGTACAGGTGTGCACTTCCAGAAGCCCTTTGGGAAAGGTGCTGAAGGGTTTGTTTCCCATGGGATGAGCGGGTGCTTCGCACCTGGCACTTCACACAACGCAGGGAGAGCCCGGCTCGGTGGGAGCAGCACAGCACTGAGGAGCAGAAGCTGTCCAGGGATGGCACTTGGGCTCTACAGGGAGACAGTGGCTTCGAGCAGGAAAATCCAGAGGCGTTTACAATTAGTAGGAGCTGGGACCAGCCCCTCATAGTGGCAGGATAGTCCTGGCTGACGTAAGGCCCAGGCAGAGGGAGGGGGAGGCTGCGGGGCACGGGGAGAGTTAAGGCTTTCATGGAGAGAGAGGTTGGACCTGCAGCTCTCATTACCTGAATCCCAAATAGCCTGAACCAAACACTTGTCCCTGCTTCAACCAGAGACCTGGCAGGTAATCAGGGGCTGAGGCTGGTCCTGGCCCTGGCACATCACAGTTCTGCTGGGAACACAGATAATCCAGCCTGGCTCCCGAGGAAGCGGGGCACCTCAGCCTTTCTTGGGAATTACTGCCAGTGGAGACAGGGTGGCTCACCCAATGGCCTCTTTCTGTGCAGTTCTGTCAGTTTTCCTTAAAAGAAAACATTACAAAAAGCATTCCCTCACCAAAAACCCCAACCCCTCTACCTGGGAATTCCTCACAAGGAGATTGTGGTAACCTGGATCACAGTGCTGCTTTTTTCTTTCTTTTTTTTTTTTTCATTCTTTTCTCTTACTGCCAGACTTTGTTCCGTAACATGTGAGAACTCTTCTAAACAAAATGCTTAAAACACCAGCATTGCACAATAAAATAGAACCAGAAGGTAGTTACTGAAACAGCCCCAGACAAGGCTCCAAAGTTAAAAGAAGCAAACAGCTACAGAGTAGTCAGCAACTAGAAGCAGGTTTTCCTTAGGATTTAAAAGTCCAAAAATAGCCATGAAACTTTTTGTTCAAAAAAACCCCACCTAGCAGCCATGTGCTAACTGCAGGACTTCCAGGTTTTTCATAAAACATTAAAGATTCAAAACAGGTAGAGAAGTTATTCAACCACACGGAACAAGAATGGCCTTGGAATTTATCAGTGAACATTTAAAAACTGCTAAATCTCCAGTATTGCTTGCAAGCCCTACCTAATGGAATGGGTGTGCTTTATTTGTACAGGGGGTGTGAGTTCTGGGGAGTCTGAGAGGCAGCATGAGGGACTGCCAGGTTGTTTTTACAATATCAGTTTTTCAACAGCTTGGACACTGTTTTTGGTGTATTTTAGAGGGCACTGGCCTTCTGTCCCTACTCACTGAGTACTGGGGGAGCTGTACCTGGGCACATCACAGCTCCCTGTGTGCCACAACTCCACAGGGATCTCTGCCCAGCCTGGAACTCAGGGGCTGCAGAGAATCTGGAGACCTCCAGCTTAAGCTCAGCAGGAGCACTCCCTGATGGAATTGCTGCAGCACCTGGCCCAGGGCAGCTGCTCATGCAGACGACTTATCATACACAGCTGGCAAGGTAGGCCCTGATTTACATAATGCTATAGACTTTTTAAAAATCTATTTTTCTAGTATTTTTTGCAGTGAGATGATAGAGTGTTGCCAGCCACAGGATGAAATGAGCTCATCTGGGCCAGATATCCTTGCAGCAAAGAGGAAAAGACTGGCATGGAACGGGTGTGCTGTTCCCAGCTCTGGGGGCAGGGTTCGGTGTAGTTTTGTATTTTATTTCTTTTGGTGTGAGAAATGCAAACCTGCCCTACATGGCTCCCACAGCTGGCCTCTGCTTACAACAGAGAAATGTGAAGGAAATGGACTGCTTGTAGGCAGAAGCAGATTGTTAATTAGCAAGAAATGTAACGAGCGTGTCATGTTCTGAGCTGGCTTCGGAGCCTACTCCACGGGCTTTAAGCCAAAACAGGCCCCCACCCAGCTCAGAGCAGCTGCAGTGGGTGCACTACACCCACAGGACAGGCAGGGCCTCAGCAAGGAGAGGATCCCTGGGGAGCCCTCCCCCAGCCCCACTCTCTGTGTAACTCCAAGGGGCTGAACTCTGAGGTTCCTCCACGGCCCTTTCCTGGGAACCAGCCTGGAGTGGGCAGCTTGCAGCAGCACAGAGCTGCAGGCACAACCCACTGTGCACAGCCCATCACACGTGGGACCATGGCTGTGGAGAGGAGCAGCAGCGTCACATCTGGGAAGGGAAAACTCCTTCCCTTCCTGCCCCAACAGCATCTGTATCAGCCCTACCCCGCCTCTGGCAAAACCTGTGCTCCAACAGCCTGCCCTGTCCTCCCAGGTGGCTCAAAACTACATGAAAATCTATAGCTCTACTACATAAAAACAGTGAGTGGGGGCTGGGGGAGGGCTGGGGGGGGATTTTCTTTGCTCACTGGGGCAGGGTTGGGGAGGTTTTTTCCATCACTGAAAAAATAAAACAGTCCACTGTCCAGCAGAGGCTGCTTAGACTCTATCCCTCATCCCCCCCAGCTCACTCGACATGCACCTCTGTCTCAGGCCTCTGCAGACACAGCTCTGTGGGGAGGAAGGCTCCCTGCCCCAGTGCCGTGGCGTAAGTTCTGCTGTGCACGTGGGGGAAGCCGGGGGGCATGAAGCCCCCTGCCCCAGCATAGCCCCCTCTTTGGTGCTGAGGCAGGGTGTGGTAATCCTCCAGATTATCGTACTGGGACACCACAGTCATCGTGCTTTGGCGCTTGCCCAGGGTTTGGTAGGGGTACAGCAGGGCAGAGTCCCTCTCCATGGGCTCGGGGTGCTCCCGCATCCGGAGGCTGTGGCTCCGCTCGGGCTTGGGTGGTGGTGCCACAGGAGGGGCAGCGTGTTCCTCCTCCTTGTAGCAGTCTCTGGAGTGCTTCTCCATGGACGCTCTGCCTCGGGGCCTCTCCAGGTCTGGCCTGTCCTCTGCCAGCCTCCCTTCCTTGTGGTTCAGCCTCAGCGTCTCCTGGCTGGCTGGGATGTACTTGCTGCCCGAGTGCTGGTAGCCCATGGGCTCAGAGGGCTCTGGGCCACCCTTGGGCCTGTACTCAGGATAGGGGGGCCCATTTTTGGGTTCGGAAGGCTGCCTGTGGTTCGCGTCCTGCTGCAAATGCGTCCTGTGCTCGCTGCTACCGCCACCTGGCTCGTGCATCTTCCTGTTCCGGATGCTGCTCTGCTTCTGGGGCAGGGACGGCTTCTCCGGCTGCCCGTTCCCATAGCCCCCGCCGTGGTAGTGGGCTCTGTCCAGCTCAGGCTCCGTGTGCTGCCCGTAGTAACGCTCATCCCCTTCGGGTGTGGCTGCCTTGGCTGGGTACCTGCCCTCCTTCCCTTCTGCCACCGTGAGCAGGCCGCTCTTGCCAGGATCCGATTTGCTGCGCAGGTGGATGGCGTCAAGACCCCCCAGCTCGTCCTGCAGCAGCGGGGCCACGTTGTCATACTGGGACATGAGGGGCCCTTTGACCTTCTGGCGCGTGCGGCTCTCGCGGCGGATGGACTGCATGCGGTACTTCTCCATGTCCTCCAGGTCCCAGGACATGTACATGTGCTTGATGTCCGGAGCGGGGGGCACGTCCCTGCTCACGAAGCTGTGCTCTTTGCCCAGGTGATTGATGAGCCCTGCCCGGGGGTAGGCAGCCAGGCTGGGGTAGCGGTACAGCCCCTTGCCCTGCAGCCGGGATGTGTAGGGGCCGAACTCGCGGCTGGGCAGGCCGTGAAAGGGCCGGACCCGCACGGTGCTGTAGGGATCCAGGTCATAGAAGCTCCCGTCGGCCGCGGCGTAGTAGGGGGAGCCGGAGGAGCTGGAGTAGGGACTGTAGCGATAATGGACCCGCCCGTTCTCAAAGTAAGGCTGGAGCTGCGTGACGTGGTAGTCAGAGTGGGGCTGATACGGCTTGTACTGGTAGAGGGGGCGTGGGCAGTACATGGGCTCGTCGTCCGGGGGCACCTCTGTGCGGGAGATGGGCACGGAGCGGATGGCGGCGGCGGCGGCAGGGCTGGGCACGTGCAGCGACTGCACCCTGCGGATGGTGGGGTACGGGGGGGCCTCCTCGGCGTAGCCAGTGCCCCGCAGCCCCGTGGGGCTCACAGAGGACACGAAGTCAGTGCGGCCGCGGGGCTTGGGGTGCAGGCCCGTAGCAGAGCCCTTGCCCTGCGTGCCATAGGAGCCGTAGCGTGCGCCTGCGGCCACGGGTGGCTCCGGGCGGGGCGGGTAGGGCTGGTGCTGCTCGGCCTTGCTGTGGTAGCCGTGGGCAGGGACGCTCTCAGGCCGGTACTGGTGCTTGGCGTGCGGGTAGCTGTCAGGCCCCAGGGGCTCGGGAAGGCTCTCCGGCTTGGGGTGCGGCACGTACACCGGCTGCAGCGATGAGTGCTTGGGAGGCGGCGGTGGCGGCGGCGGCAGCAGCGCCTCCTCCACAGAAGAGGCCAGCATAGAGGAGGCCAGGAAGGAGTGGTAGTTGGAGTTGTTGATGGTGTCCGTGTTGTTAGAGTGCATGGCCGCTGCGATCTTGCTCTCCAGCGTCCTCACGGGTGGCACGGGCGGGGTGAAGCTGTAGGAGGAGGGAGCAGGGACTGATTCGGAGCGCAGGTGCAGCGGGGGGGCCCTCATGCTCTCCCGAGGCTTTTCCAAGTGGCTCTGGTGGCCTGTGGGCATGGAAGAGGAGCCACGGGCACTGGAACTGCTCTCAGAGACAAAGCCAGGCGCGGATTCCGGAGGCTTTTCAGGTGCAGCAGTGCTCCACATCTGCAGGGAAGAAAGCAGACAGTTAGGGACAAGCAGCTCTGTAGTTAGAACATCCCAGACACTTGTACCAATCAGCTCCATTCCAGCATGTCTGTGCCTGGATTTTGTTTGCTTGGGAAGGACAGACATGTAGATTCCCTCTCATGGGCAGGCCATGATGCCACTGACAGATTTTGGGACCCACCACAACTGGCATGCTCTGCAAATGCCAAACCAGAGGAAAAGGAGGAGGTGTCTGTCTCTTCACATGGTGCCCTCATTGTTTCATTAGGTGGTCTGCTTTTAAATGTCTGATGTTAATGAAAATGTTCCTGGATTTAACCTCCTCAGGCCCTAGTGAGCAGATCTGGAAGGGCAGCGGAGCAGAAATTCCTGCCTTAAATGTGGCTGTGGGGCTTAGGATGGGCTAGGGGCTTTGGATTTCTGACAGAACACTTCCATGTTTCAATCTGGCACAAGAAATCTGACCTGCTTTGTTTAACAGAATCATTGAGGTTGGAAGAGACCTCTGAGACCATTGAGTCCAACCTGAGACTGATTCCCCCCCTTGTCACCAGCCCAGAGCACTGAGTGCCATGTCCAGTTGCCCCTTGGACACCTCCAGGGATGGGAACTCCACCAGCTCCCTGGGCAGCCCTTCCAGCACCTAATCACCCCTTCTAATCACCTTTCATTCTGTGAAGAAATTCTTCCTGTTGTCCAACCTAAACCTCCTCTGGTGCAGGTTAAGACTGTGTCTTCTCATCCTGTCGCTGACTGGACAAGAGCCTAACCAGGATGCTGGAAGAGGTCCTTATCAGAGGATGCAAAAATTCTTCTTTCTGAGCGTTCTGAACTAATGATCCCTTTGTCAGCTTCCCCTGCAGATACTTGTGTCCTTAAAACCAATGGGAGTGGGTATTCTGATATGTTCACTTAGGAAAGCAGCACAAGATTTCCTGCACGGCTGTGTCTGTTCCACCCACATCACTCCTGGTGTCCTGTAAATGCCCCCCCCTTGCCATTTGGATCTGGACCGACGTTCCCAGTGCTCAGCATTTCAGAGGAGCTGTGCAGGGAGCAGCACGTACCTGCCCAGAGCCGCTGGGTGCTTTGGCCGCTGGCACCTGTCCCACGGCTGCCTGGTGCTCCTGTCTCTGTGCTGGGGCCGTGACCGTGCGCGGGACGGTGCCATCTGCCTGGGGGGCGGCCCCGGGCGGGGCGCGGGGCTCGGCGGCCGTGCTGGGGAGGGTGCTCAGGTACGGCACCGCGGCCGGAGCACCCTTGTCCCCGGCTGGACCCACGGAGGGAGACTGCAGCTTGTCCTCGGCCGCGCAGGGAGCGTGCAGCTTGTCCCCAGCCGGGCCCACGCGCAGCTGGGGCTGCTCCACAGCCGCCTCCGTGCCGGGCAGCTCCTGCTCCGGCAGCGCCCCTGGGCCGTGGAGGGCCGCGTGCTCCCAGTCCCCCGCGAGGGCCGCCAAGGGCTCCTTGTCCCCCGCTCTGCCGGGGTGGAAGCTGCACTGCTCCTGCTCCACATCCCTGCTGCCAGGTGTGTCCCCGGGCACGCCGGTGTGGAGAGGCGGGGCCTCCTGGCCTCCAGGTGCGCCGGGCGGGTGGTTCTGCTCCCCGGCTTGGCAGTCCTGCTCTAAAGGTGCCCCGGGCTGGAAGTGCAGGCGGTTCTCGGGCAGAGCAGTGAACAGGTGGAGCTTGTCGGGAGCACCCGCAGAGAGATGGAGTTTTTCTAAAGCTGTGCCAGCTTCAGCCTCTCCATAATTTGTGCTTTCAGCATGAGCATCTCCTGGCCTTTTGTGGGACTGGGCGGATGCTTGCTGTGCGGACTCGGCTAACGCTAGGGCCAGCATGCGCGCTGCGTTTTTCGGAGGAGGAGGAGGGATAAGAGACACAGAACTGACAGGAACAGGATCCTGGGGGGAGTCGAGGGCAACTGCTCCTAATGGGGGGAAAATTGAGAGAGAGAGTGATTTTATGTTACCCAATATGGAGAGTGACCTTAACGACTATTATAAAAAAATAGATGCTCTCCACACTTTCACAGTGGCAGTTCCTTCTGATGTGAAACACTTGTGTCTCACAGGCAAATGCTGCTCGACAGCACAAAGTTCATCACAAAGAGGAAAAAACCCAAGAGATTGTCTAAAGGCTCCTCTTGCATTTCTAGAGAGGTAGGAAGGAGGTAGCAGAGAATGAGATACCCTTACACAATTTTGATCATAAGGTTTTAGGTGGAAAGGTCCCTTCTTCGAGTGTTGGCAGATTTTTAATCTAAAAAAGGAAAGTCTTAGATGGTCTATTGGCTGAAATGATTGAGAAGGGGACATGCTAGAGATTTTCACGCATGACAGGATGGGGGGAAAAAAAAGCAGAATATAAAGCATTATGGAAATTATCCGAGATTTGTGTGATGTTGGGGAGAAGGAGGAGCCTAAGACTTTACTGATCTGCACAGCCCTGCAAGACACTCGTGACCAGAACTGATGGGCAATCCCCTCTCCTAAAGGCACGCAGAGGACAGTTCTGAGAGCAGCTCCCCTTTGGAACTTAAAGAAAGAATGGAGGAAAATGCACTGTACCTGGCTGGGTGTGTCCACTGGGTACAGTCTTAGTCTGACTGCTTGGCATGGCTCTCTCCCCTTCTTCTGGAAACTCTGCTTTACAAGCAGCCACTAGCTGGGGATGCTGCAGCTCTTGGTGGGCTCCTTCCCCTGTTCCTGTTTCACTGTTTTTCAGGGGCAAGGACATCTGAGTTGGGGACCTGTTTGTGATCTCAGTGATGCCAATCTCTTTGCTCCAGCTGGAAGCAGAGGAGTTCCTGGATATGGTGGGCACTCCTCCCATGGCCTCTGGCACACGGCTGGGCAGCACAAAGGAGGTGGGTTCTGTGCTCAGTGGTGGAGATTTGATGGGTTTTCGGGCTGTCTTGGGTGAGAAGCTGGGGGGTTTGCAGGGCTGCTCTTCTGTGGGGCTCAGGTCCAGTGTAAAGAAGGGACTCATCTTCTCCTGGAAAGGGGACACTGGTTCAGAGCTCGTGGCACTGCCTGGGGTCTGGGACTGGCTGCCTGATTCTAAATCCTTCTTGAGCAGGCTCGGCTTCTCCTTATTAGTATCGATGGACTCCATCAGGGAGGTGCTGCTGTCCAGGCACTCGGACTCTGCCTGGGGGGGGCTGCACTGGAAGGACATGGGGTCAAAGTCCAGGCTGGCGACACCGATGTCCGGCGGGCTGAGGTCCACATCCTCCGAGGAGCGGGGAGAGATGAGGGCAGGGACGTGGATGAGCCCCTCGTCCCCGTCACTGTCATCATGGGGGAGGTTGTCATAGGAGTTGCAGCGGTTCATGTTCCCCAGGAGATCCCCATTGAAGGAGGCAGACAGGGCATCGCTGCTGGACCTGGGCCTTCTGGGCCGAAACAGTTTGGATTCACCTGGAAGCAAGGAGACACTGTGGGTTAGTGACAAAACCTCCTGTCCAGGACGCCAGGCCCAGTGGGGGCAGTCAGAGCAGTCCTAAGGCAGCCAGAGACTCTCCTGGTGATCTCTGCACACAGAGTAACATGGTTGGCAGTGACTGCTCATTCCGTTTGCTTAAACTCTTTTACACCACTTGCCAGGCATGATTTAGTCTGAAACTAAGCTGTGTGCACAAGCAGAGAAGCTTTAAACGTGCTGAAGGCCATTCTCAGCAAGCACTTTCCTTCACAATGCTGTCCCGTCAACCTCGAAATAGCAAGGGGAGGAGCCAAGGAACAAACATGTAGCGCCAGCTACACCAGAGCAAGAGGTTTGCTTTTTTTAACTTTAAAAGCAGGAAAAGCCATGAAAAGCATTTCTGTGAGACCCATCTGTGCTGGGAGCAGAAAGCTGCTTCATCATTTAGTAAGTTCAGCTTCCCCTGGAGGGGTGGAAAATTTGCCCTGTTGAATATCTAGAGCCAGAGATGTCAAAATGCCTCCCTTAATGCCCATTCCTTGCAAGTGCAGGTAGGATTTTTCCTTACCATCCACAGCATGCAGGGAGGTGAGGGACTCTTCACTCTTGGCCGAGCGGAGCGTCCCGCTGTCTCCTCGTCCTCCTGAGGGAAGGAACCACAAAGGGAAAGGATCGGTTAGGAAAAGGGTTTACATTTAGCTGGATTATCATGGCAGGAAAAACACAAATGCATTTCTAGTACCAACATCACTGTTCTGAGAGTAATTTTGTTTTGAAGGTGGGTTTCTGATTCTCATTTTACCTGGAAATGGTGACCGACCCAAGTGGTCACTGCTGCAGGTGACATGCTGGGAAGCAACTCCCCACAGGCAAAACATCTCAAAAAGGGGGAAAGAAGGAACATTTAGACACCCTCTTTTATGGGCACTAAACAAGTATAATTTCAGTTTCTGAGGAGACAGTCCTGAAGGGCGTCATAGAGAGTGTGAGGACTGTGAGGGTAAGAATTTAAAGATCGACCTGGGAGATGAGGGGATAAAAGTTCTCCTGGGCCCATTTTGGGATTTGTGGTGTGTTTTACTGCAAAAACACACTGTTGCTATTTTTAAGTTTGGAAAGAGACAGAAAATTTTATAAAGGCTGAGAATCCCACCTACATATCCTGGCTGTGGCTACAAAGGGTTGGCTGCCTACTCTGGTAGAGCTTTTGGAATGTGAAGGTGCCTTTCCCTCATTTCATCTTCTGAGAGCAGCAAGGGGAACCAGAACTATTCTCATTTCATAATGAGAGTGTCAGAAGGAATTATCCTGTGACTCATTATGCAACAGCCACATCTTGTCTTTCCAAAGCTGTTCCAAGCAAAGCACAGAGATGTGAACCCCTGCAGGCTCCAGAGCTGTCTGAGATCCACTGGGAAAGAACAGCTACTGGAGGTGTCATGCATGGCTTGAACGCTAGAAGGAGATAAAAGCCCACTGGAAACATCACTCTGCAATGCTGAAAACCCCAGGTTTTGGAAGGGGCCCTCACCTGCCAGGGCTATGGCTTTCATTTCCGAGGGCTCGCTGGGGTTGCGCTGCAGTTTGCGCTTGGACACAGAGGAGGATTTTCCCAGGTTGAAGAAGGAACGCCAGCTCCCCACTGGAGACTTCTTCATCTTGCTTGGAGGCCTTTTCCTGGGGAGAGAACACATGGATAGAAGTGGGGCTGCAGCTCAATCCTGGCTGCTTGTTATCGGCACTCCCTGCTTTCTGCTCAGAAACTCCTGGTTTCTGCATGGAAACTCCCTCTTTTCCACAGCTGAGGATTTTTTCATTCTTCCAGCTCAACCCTAAAGTGTTCCTGTGTAAATTCCCCCAACCTCTGCAAAGCAGCTGCAGTGCAGGTGAGGAAAGGCTCTTCCTAGCCCGGTCCAGCAGCCAAGGGGATGGATTTCATGCAAGAAGCCCCAGCTCTCTGGGAAGCTCAGCAGCCATAAAGATATTCAGAAGCATCTGTCACTCCTACTATAAAACCACCTTAGGGTCTTCCACTGCCATATTTAATTTCTGGTGTCCTCAAGCCTGTCCAACTGCTCCACTTCAAGGGAACCTCGATTTGTGACAGGCACGTAGTCCTGGAAAACCCCAACACAGACAACATGGATTTATACATTAAATGATATCCCTGCTGAAAACAAGAGGGAGTGAAGCACAAATTATATGGCTAAACTTAGACCACTGATGTGAGCCAAATCCTCCCAGAGTCCAAGGCAGGTGCAAAACTGGCTACAATACTTTACATATAGAACAAGTCTCAAGTCAATATAAGCAAATTCTTGCTATATTCAAAACAACAGTTATGACACATGCTGGAAAGGAAACTTGTCCCTACCTTTCAGAAGGGAAGTCAATGACTGTGTGGAATTTCCCCTGCAAAGCTGCTGGGCCTTCTCCCACTTCGATGTACTTGCTGTCTGCCACAATGGGAGAGTTGATCTGGGCCTGTGTCCGTGCCTGAGCCTCCTCCAGTGTGAGCAGCTTCGTGGAGGGGGAGGACACCAGCAGAGACTTGGGCCGGGATAAAGAGCTGTGCCCTGCAAGGGAAAACCACAGTCAACAGGAGAGTCAGCAAACGGCAGTGCAGAGATCAAAGCTCAGCTCTGCGTGTCTAGGGAGGTGCTGTGTTTTTCTGAACCTTTCTTATTCCAGCCATTGAAAGATGTGGACAAAATGTGGTCACAATGTCACATGCAGATACATTGATGACTGAAAGAATAATGGCTTACTCTATTAAAAAAAAAAGCAGAGGGAAGCAGTTAGGATGGGAACCTTTGTGACATACTTTCCTTCATCTGTATGCAACAGCCTGTAAAGAAAATGTTTTTCCTTTGTATAAAGCCTTATTGATTTCACCTCTTGGTGCAGCTTTTTTTTTTTTTTCCTAAAGCCATATGTGAGTAAAGTTTCTCCGAGCCAAAGTGCACCTGGACACAGCAAACAGAATCTGCTACGTGTCCTGCCCATGGCCTTTACAGCTTGTGCCTGGTTTTGGAGACGAATCTGTAAAATCTGAAAGTAGCTGCTTCTGACTCCTGCTGCTGACAGCTTCAGTGGAGAGATCACAGGGAGCCCGTTGTATGAGCAGCGCTCCTGTGTCTGCTTTGCCTCTTGTACAGGTGTTTCTAGGGCTATTCCCAGGTGAGTTCAGGGCTGTTGGGGAGAACATCCTGCTTGGTCCAATTCCACAGCTGTCCCTGGAGCAGCACAGCTCTGTGTGAAGGATGCATAGTCTGGGGAGGTGTGGGAACTGTAAATGCTGTCCTGGGTTAAGTTTGGATTAAAACAGGTTTGGTAGCACCACCTGCCCCGCTCACAGGCTGGGGGGAGCTGTGCTCACCCCCAGAGGCTCCCAGGAAGCCATTCTGGAATGCAGAATTCCTGCACTTAGCCAACCCAGCAGCCTGACCCTCCACCCTGCCAGGTCTGTGTCAAAGCCACTGCATGCAAATGATCAAGTCATTAAACAATTAGCTGAATTTACATGGGCCATTCTAAGCCTGGATAATCATCTGGCTGGGATTCTGAGCATGCTTATCCTCCTTCCCCTGGCAGAGTCAGCCTGCTGGGGCTGGCACTGCTCAGCCAAGCTAACCTCTGGCTTCCACGGACTTAGAATTGTCCTGCAGCAGGAGAAAAATCTGGACTTGGATCAACTCTGCCAGCCTGAGCAGAGGTGGGGTTTGTTTAAAAGAAGGGAGCAGCAAATACAGAGGAAAATCAGCTCTCTGCAGTCCCCAGGTGGTGGTAAATGCGATGGCTGTGCACGTTGCAGGCAAGGGCAGGTTACAAAGGCAGATGGTGCAGCCTTAATGCTGCTTAGGAGCAGGAACTGCTTGTGGCAGCAACACTAACACAGAGAATAAACTTTCCTCCTGGTGCAACTCTGCTCCTTCTCAATGGAACAGATATATGGTCTCAGTTATTCAAGGCAATTCGTAGGCTCCAAGGCTGGATGATGTTCCAGGTGCTCCAGCTTCATTCCTCATTCTAAAGCAACACCAGCCTGAGCTGTGTGGCTGCTCAGCCCTGCTCAGGGGCCCACAAGGGCTGTGCAGAGGGAATAACCAGCACAGGAGATATCAAAATATCCCTTTAAGAGCGAGATTTAAGTTTCTTAGCCTCAACATTACTGAATGCGGAGAGATTGCTTTACACCAGTTTGTTCCTATTGTGTTCTAAGGTATGGACGAGGGCAGACAGACATAGCTCCAATGGGTAAGTATGCAGAAGCATCAGTAAAGATGGCTTTAAAAAGGAGAGAGAGCAGGGGAGACAAAGATTTAAGTGATTCCTTGCAACTTCTCAGTGGTAGGACATAAAAGTAGAAGTCAAATATTCATCTCTGCATTCCTGTGGGGCATCCTTGGCTTCTAAGAAAGGTACTGACAGCAATTTCTAAAACCAGGCAATTTCTGTCTGGATTCTGACATCTCAACCCAGAAATATGTCCTCTAGGTTAAAATAAAAACATTTCCATGTCCCAGAGGAGGCTCAGGCAGCCATCAAGTGCTGCTGTTCCTACCCGAGTGAAGCGAGCACAGAACACACACCTGCCCCGTCGCGGATGACGGAGCTGAGCTTGGAGCTGAAGAGCACATCCACGTGGTTCAGGATGAACTCCACCACCACCGACTGGATCCGCACCTCCATGAAGGCGGCAGTGCCGCTGAAGCAGGCAGACTCGATCTGCTTGGACCTGCAAAGGGACACCTGGTGAGGGAAGAGGCTCCTGCTGGGGGAGGCCTGGGCACCTGTGGGGCCACCGGGCCTGGGGCTCGGGCAGAAAAGGCTTCAGGGCAGTTCTGGGGTTAAATCTCAGGAATGCTCACAAATGATCACTGACTGGGGATTTACGGCCAAACTTCAGATCCGGGCCCTATCTTGCTATCTTACTGATAGGGCAAGAGGAACACTGGGCTGGGAGGAAAAGGGAGTGTGAAACAGGTCAGAATTGAGGTTAATACACTGAACACCCAAAATGAAGAGCTGTTTGTTAATTCATTTCTATGTCTGGCACAGTTTAAGGCAGTGCTGTTGTACAAACCTGCTGTGGCCTCTAAGAGGATTTTCCCTCGAGCAGGGAATGTCTCCAACTGATCCTGCTGAGTGAACGCCCCAGGACTCACCGAAGCAAACTCAAACATGAGGTCACTCCACTGCCTGTGGGAGAACTGCCAGAAAGAAGGGCCCACCTGCATGGACTGGGAGTGTCCAAGGCCAGGTTGGACAGGGCTTGGAGCAACCTGGGAAAGCAGAAGGTGTCCCTGCCCACAGCACGGGGTGGCACTGGATGAGCTTTCATCTTCCTCCCAACCCAAACCCTTCTGGGATTCCACGATGAACTGCACACTCAGATTTCTCAGGTTGGTAACAACAGCAGTTCAGAAATCAGTACAATAAAGAGTAGGGTGGTATTCTTTTTTTCTTTTAAAGTAAAATTTTTAAGTTACACCATTAATTTTAAATGCCCTAACATGCAGATACAAAACAGATTTATCCAAGATAATTTCTGTAAGTTTGAATTCTTGCAGCCAAAAGCTGTCAAATTAGACTCTAGGGACTTACGCAGTGGGAAATCAGTGATGCCACTGTAGAAATTTTCCTGGATGATCAAGGACACATCAGTCTCATCTAACCAAGACAGGAGAAATTATCCTCTAAAAGAAGGTTGAGGGAATTCTTCCTTGTCACTACTGACAGAACTGCAGCCATTGGAACTGTGTTGTGTGAGACAGGATAATACAGGGCCTGTTTTACATCACTAGGTCAGGAACTTGCTTGCTGATCTTAAATCCTGCTTAGAATAATTTCCCATATTTTACAGGAGAAGAGTGCACTGGGTGAAGAAAGGAAGAGCTCTTTCCAGCTGCTGAAAGCTGGGATCTTCTGGAGTACCTGTTTTTTATGAATGCAAACATTTATCTTGTATTGAAATGGGAAAATCCCAGAATACCTGAGGAGGTTTGGAGCCCAGACAATGGCCAAGTTCTTGGTGTGCATATTTGTGATGGAGCAATAATCAGCCAGACGAGCCAAGTGTCTCATTAGGAACTCCAGTGTCCTGGAAAACAGAAGAGAGGCAAATGTTCAGCACCACTGAGCAAAGCCAGGCTGTGATCCACAGAACAAACCCAGCTCATTATTTCCTTTTGGTTTGACAGCTCTCAGAAAGGAAGGCTGAACTCCTTCCCCTCAGCCCCATGGTGGACCTGCCTTTGGCAATGCTGACACAGGCTGGGGTGAATCTCTCCTGACTTGTCCAGGCTCAAGGAAATGACAGTTACAGCAAAAAACACTTTGCAGGTATATGAGAATCATGAGGGGCTGCTCAGAGATGTGTGGGGAAGGATGTGGAATGCTAATCCTGGCATGGGGGAAGCATTGATTTAGACACCCCAGGATACTGAAAACCAGCCAACTGTACCTGAGTTCTACTTGGGAAATTCCTGGTTGCAGGTTTCTTAGAGGTGGCTAAGGAAGGTTAAACTTCAGAGGCTTCTGTTCACATTAAAAAATGGTGGGTTTTGTATATTTGTATATAAACACTGTTGTGTTTAATACATGCTGGGGAGAAGGGAGCAGGAGGTGGCAGTGAAAATGCTGCTGGTACCCTCCTGGTCTGTCTCACAGCCTATCCTTATTTTGTGGGGGGAAGTGAGTTGGAGCAGAGAGGGTGTTTGGGGCTCAAAATGCCAAGAACAGACAAGACTGGAAGTGAAGAAAACAGCTCTGGCTGGAAACCAAACAGACACCTCCTGCCTGCAACTATCTGCTATCACTGAATAGCAGAAAAATGAAGTGTTTTTTTCCTTTTTCCAAGCAAACCCAAGGAAATAAGAGCAGCACCCTGTGACCTACAGCATTCTACATCCAGCTGCTGGCTGTGCCCCCTCTCTGAGATCAATGTGCTGCTGGTACCAGCACCCAGTTTAACCAGCCCCATCAAGTAAAAATCATTTCAGGGAAAAGGTGAATGGAAAAGAAGGAGATCAGTTTATTTTTTAAAGGGCCATACCCCCTCAATTAACATCAATATTGCAATTAGTTACTACAACATATGCAGCTGTTGCACCAACTAACCTTATTTAAAGAGCAAGTAACACAGCTGTAGTTTATAACACATCACTTAAATCACAGTTAATTTCTATAATTAGCTATCTATGCCACTCATTGCAATCGTCCAGCTAATCACCACACATCACAGTAACTGAAATTTAAACATTTATTGGCAGAAATGTCTATAAATAGTTATCAATAGCTGTCCTCATGTGTTACACCTGACCCCTTAGACCTGCAGACTAACATACATTATAAAAATCAATTGATGACTGTAATGAACTATTCTAATTAGGTATCAATAGCCAAATACCGCCTGCATTCACCCCAAATTGTCACCTAAACCACTGGGACACATCAGGGGAGCTGTCCCAGCCAATTAAAAGTTACCCATCTGTAAGTAACTTCCACCATATGTTGTCATGAGCTCTTTCTACCAATTACAATTCACAATTAGTGAATGCTACTTACCATGCATCACTAGTTATTAATATTAATGGATCATTAACATACAGAATTCTGTATAGTTATTAAAGCAAATCCCCAATACCAATTTGTCTGATGCCTTTTCACCATACCCTGCCATAACTTTTAATGCTAAAGACCATTAAAATGTTGTTCTTAGTCAAGACTCACTACCACACAGCATGAATTCTTATTACTACTAATTAACTTAAATACAGTATTTCACTGGCGATTTTTAAACACCATATTATGCTACCCTAATATCTAACACTAATATAATTAATTAAATCAGTTATTCTCAGAGCATTGTTGTTATTTGCTAGTTACTATTATTGCAGAGAGGGGCAAACTGGAGACAAAGTACAGTTGACCTAATTTGACTGAAGGCCTGAGCAATCTTTTGGCTATATTTCACTTTTTTTCAAAGTAGTCTTTGCACTGGTATTATGCCCCCGACACAATAAAACTGCTTCCTTACTCTGACATAACAAGCTCCTATTTCCCTCCTAGATGGCATTTCCAAGCATGTGAAGTAAGACCATGTTTAGTGTACAGTGTAAGTAAGGAGCTAATTAAAACACAAATCAACTTTCTACAGCCATAACCATTTCAGTGTTCAGGGGCAGAGTGTGGCTGTCTAGAGAAGGAAACTGGAATTACAGAATTCCTCTTGTACAAAATGCCCACAAGACCCCAAAGGCTCCACTCACCTGTAGTGGGGAGGGGGCAGCTGCTGGATCACATCGTGGATCTTAACCAGCCTCTCCTCATCTGTAGCAGCAGAAACAGCATCCTGGAACGAGGCAGGAAAGGATTTAGCTGCAAATAAACCCCCAATGTACCAATCTTAGCAGTGAGGTGGGTTTTGTTACTCTTCTTCCCCCTGGGTGAGAGGTCTGTCCTGGGGACAGCACAGCATATGGATCATGTAAGGAAGGTCACGTAAGTCATGACCTGGGGAATATTAATGGCACGGAGAATTCCTACAGAAGACTCAGAGCAGCATTTGCTTCCAATCCCATTCCTGGGAAATGGCAAATGAGAGGGGAATTCCTGCAAAGCATGGGAAGTGTGCTGGGGACCTTCTGCTGGGACCCCATGAGTGGAACCAATACAGGGTGGCACAGGGGACAGAGGCACCTGTGAGTAGCCTAAAAGGGGCACAGAAAAGGCCCCTCAGACCCTGGGGCACTGCCAGCCCCTTTGGAATGGCAGGATGGAATCATGAGTATGGGCAGCACAGTGTCAGGCTGGGAATTTTGTTGACACACCCTTCTGATGGCTCTAAAAACCCCAACTGAGGCAGAGCAGATAGTGAGGGAAGTGTGTGGAAGGCAGGTCCAGCCTCCAGGACTTCTCTGCTGTCTCAGCTGAAGCCCCACTGAAGGGGGAGGTGCCCCACATTTGCCTCACACTTACTGAGAACTTCTCGTAGAGCTGGTAGGTGAGCAGGGGGTTGGGGAGCTCACGGAAGTACAGCTTGCACAGGGAGCCCACACAGTGGATGTCCTGGATGTAAATGTCCTTGGTCAGGTCAGGAATCTGCTCCGAGTCAAACTCGTGGCTGGCAATGAGAACAGAGAAATGGGTAAAGGGGTTTGAGGAGGAGGAATGAAATCAAACCCAGCACAAATTACAGCAAGGCTTTCCTGACAGACAGGAAAAAATAAACACTTAGTCACCAAAGCCACATGACCCACAGTTGTGGGGCAGCCAGTGGGGTTATTTTCCAAAAAAGAAACTTTTTTTTTTCCTAATAAAGCATTTTCAGTTAGTTTTACCACCAACTGGCTGCAATCTCTTTTGCTGCACAAGGGCTTTTCACAAAGTCTCCAGAGAACATCTTCCAAGACCACAAGAACTACTTTAACTCCCAAGGGCTGTGACTGGGATTGCCCATAGGAATGATGAAAGTTGCTGTCCCTCTGCATTTCAAATGCCTGGAAATGGCAATGGTAAAGCCTTGCCAGCAGCACTTCCATCAGCAGCACATGGAAACCAGTGAGTGCAGGAATTCCTGGTGGATAAGCTGGTGAGCTGAGCCTGCCTCTGCTACAGGGAGAAGACAGCCAGGAACCACATGAAGAAAACCCCATAGTACTCCCCTTGGTTTTCAGCGAGAGAAAAACCTCCAGTCACCAATGTTTATGAAATAAAAGCTGAGCTCAGAAGGCCGAGGGCTGGCTTGCTGCTGGAATATGTGCTGGGAAGTGCTGTTTCCAATTAGCAGGATACTCTAGGGGGATTAGAGTGGTAAGCCAGGCCCTGGGAGTGGAGAACCTCGGGGTCCCTGCCGGAGTCTTTAGGCTGCTCACAGCCATGGGGACTCATTCTGTCAGCACTGCAACCACAGCTGGGGCTGGGTGTGCTGGCCCATCCCCATCCCTGGCCTGTCCCCCACCCAAAGCTGGCAGGTTATGCCCAGAGGGTCACACCACCCCTGAGCTCACCCTGCCTGAGGAGCAGAATGTGCCCAGGGCACCAGGTGTGTTTTTAACTGAGCCCTCCTGGGATCAGGATGAGCTCCTTCCATCCTGGACACGGACACTGCTTGCAGGAAGCCTTTCAGTCCCCCCAGGCAAGGGGCAGGAGAGATCCCCACCTTCCCAGGGTGAACAGCCCATCCCTTCCTCACTCTGAAGACAGCAGAGGAGGAAAGGAAGGATTCCATTTTCCACACCCCCAGTGCTCAGCACACACCACTTCCACAGGCACCTTCTAACTCACCCCATGCTCACGTTTGGGACAGAAACTCAGCTCCTGGACTTGGCTCTACAGAAAAGCTCAGGAAGGCACCAGCACACCCCACACAGATTCACTCAGCCTGGCTCAAACTCCCTGTCCATATCTTGCCCTACTCCAGCAGTTTTTCCTAGGAATAAAGCTCACACTGTGTCAGATATTCCCCTGCAGAACTAAGTATGGAGGGAAGAGAGGGATGCCCCACTACATTCAACCCTCCTTCTCTCTGCACTCGCTGTTTCCAGAGCTACATGTTATTCTTTCTGTCACAAAGGAAGAATTTGTTAGGTCAAGAACAACTCCACACCCCTCAAAAAGATCCAGGACACCAGGATACAGGGACCAACACCCCAAATCAACAGTGGCTGTTTGCCCACCTGCCAAAAAATAAAGGCAGCTACTGCCGTACTGGAGAGCCAACCTCTGTCCTGTGGAAATCTCCCATGTGGAATAAATTCTTTAACCTTCTCTCCAACCAAAAAGCCCTTTAAATCCAGGAGATCCAGTTTTTCTATGGGAAACCTATGCACAGTGATTCATTTATAATGATACTGCAGCCTCAGCTTTGGAATGAGCATAATGCCCTGTTGATACAGCTGGGAACTGCAGCAAGATGCATCCTACATTCATCAAACACTCAAAACCTGTAGTGATTTACATGAACAGGACAGTGTCAGTAAGTTATGCCATGTACTCCCTTTTGTCTTTGGAACATCTCAGAAACCTGGAAAACAGGCTGTCACTTCATTCTCTGCACAGAACAGGGAATGATGCCGTTACAATTTTAGAAAAACATCTTTAAAGCACCTTTGATACACAATGAAGAAGAAAATGGTCTTGGCAACACAAAAGGGGAAAAATGGACTAGGGCAGAGATTAGAAGGATGGTCCAGCACAAGTCAAAATGGGGAATAAAGGGATATAACTGAAGTAATGGCAAATGTTTTTATCAGTCACAGCCTTTAAATCCTGTATATCAAAACCTTGGGACCAGATTTTTAAAATGGGACTTGCTGGGGTAAGAAACAGGATTAATCTGAACCAGAACAAACCCGTCCAATCCAAGGGTTTGAACAGTCACTGTACCAGCTCAAGCCTGCCCACTGAACTGGGGGACAGCTGGTACAAAAAAGATATTCTGCTCATAGCAAATAGTCCTGTGCTGCCTCTGTCAGGCTGTGGGCCCAGGAGCAGTGCTGGAATGAGTTACATCCATTTGGCACATCAGTGTTCCAGAACAGAACATTCCACACACAACAACAGGAGGAAAACAGCCTCATGAAAGAATAAAGGGAGTTTGCTGTGGTGGGAACAGCAATCTAACCAGAACATACTCCTGGTCCTTCCCTGTGCAGCACAGCAATGCCACCCATCAGATTCAGGCATGCATCCTTTGCACATTCCAAATTAACCGCTGGTAAGCCAGGAGCCCAAGGCAGCAGGGAGAAACATCAGCTGCTCCAAAAGGCTCAAAGAGCAAGAAGGAACAGAAGAAATGAAACATGACAGCACAGTGACACCAGGATCCTGATATTTTATCCTGAAGGAAAGCTTCCTGCAGGATGAATCCACCTGAGAAGCCCAGGCTGTGCCCCTGCCTGTGCCAGGGGCTCCAAGGCAGGCAGGCCCTTACCGGAGTTTCTGGATGTTGGAGGCGATCCCAGAAAGCCGGTATATCCCATCCACAATGCCGTGCTTCTCGATGAACTCAGTGCAGCTCTTGAGGACCTGGGGCACTGAACAACAACAGCTGGGGTTAGTAAAGCCCTTGCTCAGGCTGTGCTCTTGGCAGGTGTCATAAACTACTCCCACCTGGGCCATGGCTTCAGTTCCTCCTCAGGGGAGAAAGCCTGGAGGAAATTTAACTTCAGGAGTTGATGTGGAAACTGGTCAGAGGTGTTCCTGCTTTAACAAGGGAATGCCAGGATATGAATCAGGTCAAAAAAAGCCAGTTCTGGTCAGAGACAGTGCAGGTCCTATGACAAATCCCATGGGAACTGTGGTGTGAAATCCCATTCCAGAAGAGCTGTAAAATGGAATAAATACTATCTTTCAAATCTATAAAGGAATAACTTATCCTGCTTGGTTTAAGGAAATATAAACATCAGGGAGATACTACTTTTGGCGGCACAGACAGGAGAGCTTTTACAACTAGTAATTTCATCCCAAATGTCTGCTGGAGCATGGCTGGATATGGAGAGCTCTACAGCATCCCACATCCACAGAAAGTGCAGACAGAGCAGGGCATGACAGAATGGAAAAATCAGCCCAGGGGATATAATTAGGTGTCAAGTTAATATTGCAGCCGCTTCACCACCCCATTCCTTCCAGCTGGCTTCCCAGGCTCATGCACATCCAGTGCTGGAGCCGTGTGTCCATCCGTGTAAGCCTGAGGAGGAGCAAACCACTGGATTTACAGAAGGCAGTAAAACTGCCCCGAACACAGAGAGAAAATCAGGATCGAGCTCCTGTGAGCATCAGCAAACCTTTAAGGAAAAAGCCGGGATCCCTGTGAACTCCTCTGCCAGCCACATCCATTTGGCACATTAAAAAACAACCTTTTTGCAGCAGCTCCTCTGCTGATCCCAGTCTGTTCTTTAGATGCCAGGTCTGATCAATGTGCCACGTGACACAGATTCTGAGCAGGTCATGTGGCAAATCCCCTTACACCACGCAGCAAATGCCATCTGCCAGGCACTGCTCCCAAGTGCTGCTGCACTTGGATGCTCTGTGCTCCCCCCAGCCTCCACAAGGCTGCTCTCCCAGCCTGCAGCAAACCCTCATAGCTGGAGGAAAGGCTCATTTCAGATGGTTCCCTGGAAATCAGCAGGTGTATCCCAGAATAAAGGCACGTCTGCTCTACGCTGGAGCACAGGAGGGGGTGAAAGCTGTAAGTCCTACAGCACGTCAGTCACAGGCTCAGCTGGAGCAGATCACACCCTGCACCTGGGAGGCTCCAAGAGGCAGCCAGAACCGAGCCAGCCAGGCTCCAGTGTTACGTTCCCAGGGATGTACAACAGCTCTCACCATTTTCCAGTCGGGGCAGACTTTGAAGTGAGCAGAGCACTTGAACATTAAGCCAAGAGCCTTGGGAACCAAGTGCTCCTTTTTTGGGGACCAAAAACCAGTGGAGGTGAAGCCTCATGCTACCTCAGCATCAGTGAACTCCAAGGAGGACCACAACAGATGGCTTCAGGAGTCAACAGACACACCCTGAATCATCTGAGCTGGGACAGGCAACAGGTTGTCACCGAACATACACCCAGAGAACATTGAGGACATGCCCATCAGTCACCCACAAGGACAGATCCCAGCAGAGCAGGTGGAACACGAGGCCTGGAATTCTCACAGTGTCTCAAAAACATTTGTGGAGAACAACACTTACGCCTTTACTCAAAAAGACTCAACACCTCTTGAAGGAGAAAGCTTTTAAGGCTGGAAGCTGACAGGGAAGGAGTTCTATCCTACTCAAGCAGTGGCCAGAAAGGCCTGAAGTGTGCACTGTACTGCACTACAGCACTGGGAGGTGAGCGGGCCCAGGTCTGCTGCAGGGCAGCACAGAGAGAACAGCTCCAACCTGTGCAGCAAAGGACAAGGCTCTGTGTGCTGACACAGCCAGTGGTGTTTGTCCCCTGTGGGAGAAGAGCACCCCAGACTGCCAGACACAGCTGAACCAAGACCCCGTGGGATGTCCCTGTGTGTCTGACCCATCACTACCCGTTCACAACAGGCCAGAGGTCACAGATCTCACCAGTGACCTGCACAGGGCTGAGCCCCCACCGGCGGCATTTCCTGCATGCAGGAGCCCCAAAGGATGAGGCAAAGGAGTTTTCCCAAACTTTGAAGTTGAACTCCCTTGGCAAGATTTGCTGAAGCTGCAAATCTTAAAGACATTAATGATCCATACTGCAACCACAGGAGGGGTCCCCTGGAATCAGTAGAGCCCACTGAAATTAGTAAATCAAGATGCAAATAAATAAACAGGTAAATAAATCAAGAAGCAAACATACCAAGTCTCTAAAAAATTCTTTTTCTCTTTCTCTGATTCTGCTGCACTTCTGAAATTTTCTTTCTCTTCCTGGATTTCTCAGTCTCCTTTGGGCTGAATTCTTTTGGGATCCTTCCTCATGGGGAGCCCTGCTTATCTCAGTTCTTTAGGTTTGATGAAAACTCCCAAGCTTGTTAGAATCTTGTTTCTTGTGCTTATTAGAAGGTCATCACAAAACTTGGCAGGTGTCTCCAGACTGACTGCACAAGTTTAAATCACTGTAATCTGGTACATTTCTTTCTGATGGTACAACAAGGCCTTGTGGCTCACTTTGTGTTTGAAAGCACAAAATGGCCCCAAACGACGTCGTTCTTTTATCTCTATACTTATTCTTATCCAATTAACAATAGACAGGTATATAATTTTTCTTAATTACCCAATGACCCATCGCCTGTGCGCTGCACTGCGGCATTTTCTAACCAATCACTTACTACCACCCAAAAACCTCTAGGAGAGGAACATGAAGAAGAAAGGAGGAGGACAAGAGACAACACCCTAAATCCTCCATCTTGTCTTCTGTTCTCTAAACTAACTTTTTCACCCAGTGACTTAAGAAAACTCTCTAATCTACACACTCACACTTTTAGCTTTTCTAACTTTAACAGCTGTTTTCATGTATCACCATGAAAACATGCTCATGAATTTCACGTTGTATGAAATTCAGTGTTTTTCTGGATCTTAGAGGTAAGTATCAGAAACAAGAGCACACACTCTGTATCCCAGACTCCAACAGCAAGAGGCAGATAAATAAACAGCACTCCCCCTGCCTGCCTGCCCCATTCCCAGCAGGAAACTGGGGGTGACAGTGGAGCAGGGCAGGGGAGCCAAAGGGAAGGTGAGGGCTGCAGCACCAATGCTCTGCCTCAAGTTCTCTTTTGTCACGAAGAGCCTGGGCACAGTGAGAGTAATTAATAAACCCTGAAAAGATCCCAGCAGGCTTGCTCCAAGCATTTCCTCATCTGGTTACCAGGACGATCTGTTCTTTAAGCTAAATATAAATATACCATACCAGCACCACAGATATTTTGGGGGAATTCTGCACAGTTGGAAAAAGGACTGAAATTCAAATAGGGCTAAAATTGTACCGGAGGGGCCTTTGCTGGAATGGTGACTTCATTTTTCACATTTCTGAACAAAGACACCTGGCCACTGGGTATATGCTTAAGCTCCCTCTGCCCTCTAACACTCATTTTAAAGATGTACATCCACACATGGAGGGAACAGTCAATGTTCCCTCAGAAGGAAAAGGCAGTATGACAGCACAAGCCAAGACTTAATTTTGCAAATGTCAATTGTGCCCAGACCATCACCTACAACAGCTTCTGACACCACACTGTGACTTTTTTCAGGTAGCTCTGTCCATCTGCTGCAGAAATCCCTCCCCTGGCAGGTGAACTTCTCAGTTCAGGAACTGATTTTGTCTTCTAGATCCCAAACCACAACCCAGATTTGAACCAGACAGGTACCTCAGCCTCATCCCAGCAGGGAACCAAAGGAGATTTCCTCTCACAAGATGCAACAGCAACAACACTAAAAAGTTCTACTAATGGCAGTTAATTGCTGTGGTTTCCTGCAATTACAACAATGAGACTCAATGGCACAAATGGTTTGCATTAAGAGCCATAAAGGCCCACCTGGGTCAGCACCTGGTTCCTGGCAATGCCCAGGAGCTTTGGGAAGGCAGGAGGAGGGAGCAGAGGGTGACAGTGCATTCCTCGGTCCCCAGAGCCCAGAACTGGTGCCTGGTTATCCAGCCGAGGACACAGCCCTTTGCAGGGCCACATTCCCAGGCAAGTAACAAAAATCACTGATCCTCAGTGTGATTCTAGTCCTCTATTGAGCCATGGGGTCTTCAGCCAGTGACTCCAGAAAAACTCCCTGCAGTGCAATCACTGTCTCAGCTGCAGGCAGCGAAAATCCACTGCCAGGTGCTGCCTGGGAACGAACATCCAACTCTGCAGTGGCTACAGCACACACCTCCTGTTCTACACAATCACAATAACAATCACCCCTCCCTCCTTCCCTCCACTATCTCCAACACCAGGTGGTTCCAGGAGACAAAGTGCAAAGGGCTGGAAATGTGGATGCCTCCCCAAAGGCATCCACATTTCATCATCGCAGCAGCCAAAGGAATTAATTCAAGTACTTCTAAAGCATCTCTTAGCTGGTTTGAAAGGTTTATTGCATCTCCGAGCGCTCATTAACTGCTTAATTCTCTGCCATTACGAGGAAGCAGAAGTTCTATGGTTTTCATTCTGAAAAATATTTTTATTCATCCTCACATGAAGCATATTTCCTTTCCTATCATCTTGTTGGGTGGGTTTTTTTTTTTAAATATTTTGTAATGTTCCCTCCCTGGGCTTTGGGAGACTTGCTTGTGTTCTGTTTTCTTTTCTTAGCACATTACTGGAACCAGAAGTGTTTGCTCAGCCTGGGGCATGAGGCCTCCCACCAAGCCCCCCTCTGGCACTTTGGCATTTTCCCAAAATATAGCAGTGGGGTGCGGGTCCCACAGGCCAGGCCTTGGGGCTGGACAATGGCCCAGAGCACCCGAAATGCTGCTCCTCACTGAATTCCACACGTAACAAACCCACAAGGGAGCTCAACCTCCAGCAGCATGGAAAACCAAGTGCCCTGAGCTCCACCTCAGCAGAGGTGACAACCAGCATCCAGAGTCAGCAGACTTGG